GGGGAGGGGTCGGAGGATTTTACCTGAAATTTGAGCTTCAATGTTAAAAATTTACCTGAAGTGTAATAATTAATAATAGAGCTTTTTCTAATTGATTTCCACTGTCATACTAAGTTTCCGAAAAAAAGGGGGGTCTGGGGGTCCTTTCCCAGAAAATGCTTACATTTTTGAAGCTCTGGCGTTTTCTAAAGCAAATTCGTAAACGAATTGGATCTAAATTGACTGTATTTTACAAAAATGGTTATCATTTCAAAAAAATAACTATTTTATTATGCACATTCTACCTGAAAATGTCTAAATTTAAACTTGAATTTTACCTGATTTTTACCTGAGTTTTACAGTTGGGATGGTTTACACCCCCCCCTCCCACCCCCTCTCCCCGGTCACTACGTCCCTGCATATCATATAATGCAATACTTGTCAGTTTTATATTGTATATCATAGTTACATAGTGATATATATAGTTATAGGCTCAAACGTTTTAATTTTAACATTTACAAGAGCCAAGCAGTAGATATATCACTAGATTTAAAGAGTAAATAAAATCAGTGATCCTATATGATATGTTGAAACAGATACTGTATTCCATCATAAGTTTTTTCAATTGTTTCTGTTCCAGGTAATTACTATTGAATTTACCGTCACATCCCTTTACCCAAATTAACAAAAAAATATTGAAATGGTTTGTATTCGGGTATATTCTTAATTGTTTTTGAGTTCATCCAAATTAAATAATTTTGTGTTTTTAAGCGGAAACCATGCATTTTCTGACGGTTAGTTTAAAATTCATCTTGCGTATGAATAAAAAGATTTTATAATATTTAGAGTACAAATATATGCCGTGACATGCCAGCTAGGAACATATACGCTGGGATGATCGCAAGTGACCGTAAGCTCGAGCTTTTTCAAGCTAAACGAATGCAACACGCGAGCGCCATTTCGCCGCTGACGCAAGATGAATTTTGTAAACTAATTGACAGTCTTTGAATCACAATTGTTTCCGTGTGGGGAACCGAAACGTCAGACAAAATAATCCTATTAATTAAATTAATGTATAAAACAATCTGGATGAAATAAAAACAATTTAAAAAATACTTTCAATTAACTTTTCCAGCAATTAAAACTCCAAGTTATAACAAAAATTTTCAGCTTTTGTGAAACATTTTTTCTTGTTTTGGCGTATATCGTAACATTCTGCGAAACACGTGATATGATCAGTACAGTATTGGAAATGAAGATGCTCTGAGAATGACGTACACGTCACACTGTTCGTTTAATCAGAAACGCACTGACCGGTTTGTAACCGGTGGATAATTCGTCGTCAGTTTTCAAGTATACATGCTTAAATCGAGGCAAGACGACCATTTGTTTACAATGTAATACGATGAAATTACAGAAGATCAATTCCGGATTTTGATCGTAAAATCCATCAAACGGAAGATTGGAAAAGAACTGCATGCAGTTGGCGGTTACGTGGTAAAGATAACTATAAGATTCCGACATATAAACTATGCAAGAGCCTCAATATACCAACAGTGATGTGGATATTGGTTTTTGAAGAACATTCAGGCATGTTCAATGCATTACAGATTATGCCGTATCACTGAACATCGGAAAGAATGTAACAGATATACATGGTCAATGGGGACTGATGAAGTAGATCAACAGGAAATATGGTACAGAGTATAAGTACTGTAAGTGAATAAACTCCATATTTGGACAATTACTAATCATAATTCATGTCAAACAATACTCGCATCGAGATGAAAAAATCTGGACAAAAAACGCTATATACAACGAACATTATAAAGCATACCAACAAATAAAAAAGGAAAATTCTCATAAATACAGAACTAAGATGGTGAATATCAGTTTTGATGCTTAAAGGTTGCAACATTGGCAATGCATGTCAATATTAATACTGGTATGTGAGAAAACACAGATTCCTCGCCATGGTATGCTGCTATTAATGCAATAACAACGAACTTGTCGAGTGGCGCGTATATCTTTCGTTTGTTCTTTTGAAAGTAAAACACTGAAAAAAAAAAGAATGGAAATTGGCAAATATACTGATCACGAAATCAACTGTTGTACAGTGTTATGGTATATTTTTAAAACCGACAATGCATGTTGTCAATGAAATTTGGCCTTCCTTCAATTTTTGTGTTTTTCACTGCTTGGCAGTTTCTGCTGGGAAGGTCTAATAATGTAGGTTTTGTTTAGAAATCGGATACGATTTCTTACAAATTCAGTTTTGAATAAATTAGCCTTTCTCACGATGACGAATATCCGCCATTTTTGGGTGGCATCTAAGTAATTCTCGTTAACCAATGCAGACAATTAAAACAGTGTGAAAAGCAATTTTTCAAAATAAACTAACCATTTACAAAGCAAATTTCCCATCATTCGTCCAAAAAATTATAAAAAGTCGCTGTTATGTGGACTTATCTCGCAGACTTCGGCTGAAATGCCACCCAAAAATGGCGGCGTGAGAAAGGCTAATTGATGCCCAAATCTCCGCGGCTGCGCAAGTTAAAACAATTTTACACTAGGAATGTGATGGTAAATGTCAATAAGATGAAATGACAGTTTTATTATTTATCCGTGGTTACGCATCAAAATCGCTGCAAAGTAAAGTATATATTGAAAGACAAAAAATTATAAAAAAATGCAGTAAAAGTTCAACATATAGTATAGACATCACTGCTTTTCAAACATTGTAATTGATTAATGTGTTCATTTTGTCATTGACACATTGTAATAATTATAATTATTTTATAACTATTTTTAAATTGTAATTCTTTGAGTAAAAAATGAAGAAATTAGAATTACTATACATCGTTAATACATTTTTTTACGCAATAAGCGTGGTGGTGTGAAAAAGTGCTTCATATGAAAGGAAAATTTTTATTTTCTTGTTTAAAAGAATTGTAAAAACTATAGAGTATAACCTCTTTTGCAGTTTCTCCAGAGTTGCAAAAAGTGTTCAACCTTCCTTAAATATAGATAGTTTATTTAGATATATCATTAAATTGTATATAAATTTACATGATATAAAAGTTAAAAGTGATTAACTAATAGTGATACATGTAAAATTAGCTAATTTTACATGTAATATCCAGTTTACAACTATATAAACTAGGATTAAGAAGTTTTCCTACTTGAATTACTAAATATAAAACTATTTTTTAGTCTGTCTGTTTTACACACAGGAAAATTAAACATGCGTCTATTCTTTAGTCCAATATCGGTTTGTTCATTTTCGGCACCAGATAATGTAGTTTAGGGACTGGTCATAATTTATCAGGGAGGGTGGGGAGGTGTAATTCAAAATTTTAAGGAATGATATTTTCTGACCCTGCTTTGCCATAACCC